AAGGAAGGTTGGGCAATCTACTTCCGTAGTGATACTGCCTCAGAAACCCAAGGAGGGGTCACTATGAGTCAGATCCAATTAGACAGCAGTGAGTTTTTGGTTTGATTAGGGTTGGTTATTAGGCTTTTTTTTCCCCTGACTGCACATTTTGGATTCATAGATTCTATCTCCTCTGGGTCGAATCAATGAAGCAGTGAGTGATCTCACTAAAGCTATCCAACTCCAGCCTTCAGCACGGCTGTATAGGCACCGGGGGACCCTATACTTCATATCAGAGGTGAGTTGTTCTTGTCGTGGGCCATTCCTTTCTTGATGGTAAAGATTTTACTTTTCCCTGCCTTAGAAAACTTCTACTGGATAGGTTTAGGTTTGGGGCTGTTTCGTTTTATGCTTGTGATACAAGAAAGTTATAAAAGCATTTTCTTTAGCTGAAATTAAAATGCAGGGATATTAAGTATGAGGAAAACATTTTCTTGCTTGAGCTTTTGGCAGTGACTAATTTTCTAAGAGAGGGAAGAGAGAAATTTGGTTCATGGATCAAGCTTTATCCTTTCTTGTACATATCATCCTAGGGAAGCAGGTTTGCAAGTTATGAATGTGATTTTTAAGCTTAGGGGTACCATGTGAATCTCTTTGAGTATCATGCCTCAAGAACTGTAATCTAAACTAGCATGGCTAGATTCAAATCTAGCAAGGTCATTTTTTGTTGTCACAGTGGTATTTATGATTGCCACAACTATTTTTGGGATTTACAGTAATTTTGATGAGATAGATTCTATTGCAAAAGAAACTAGAACAAAAATCTCATTATAGCACATTTTAATCTAATAGCATGATTATTTCTAAAATACTCAATGTGCTAAAATTCTTGGGCCACAAAATAATTTGGAAACTTTCTCTTACAGACTTTTACTTTAACAGTATTTGAAATATGTTTTTTTATTGTGGTTGAGATGAGGTGCTTAAATTAATCCTTTATTAGCCACCCCCCCCCATTAGTTTTCTGAAAACCAATGATTTTATCAAGCATTGTTAGCACTCAACTAATATTTATGATCATGAGATGTTTCCTTTAAAGCCCAAAAGGGCACAAAATGAATTAGGCTTATTTTTCTCTATCAATCAAAAGTAGAAAATGCCTAAATATCTAATGACTACTGCTTTATTTTTTCCCCACTCTCCTTTTCGTAGGACTATGCAACAGCCCATGAAGACTTTCAGCAGTCCTTAGAACTGAACAAAAATCAGCCTATAGCTATGCTATACAAAGGTTTAACTTTCTTTCACAGAGGACTTTTGAAGGTGAAAGTGTTGTATAATATGTGTAAAATATGATTCTGTTCTTCTTTTGTGGATGAGAAGAATTTAGTGAAATTTGATTTGGCGTGTTTTAAGATGATGTATGAAGTGTCTAATTGGTTTATTTCAGAAGTAGTTTGAATCAACGTATTTATTGAGCTACTACTATTTGCTAGGCCCTCGGGGGAAGTGCAGATAAGGAAAGGGTAAAAGGTTAATAAGATGGAGAAATACTACTTCCTGCTTATAAAATATACAGTTTACAAAGCTTTTTTTCCACATGCAATTTATCATACAGTAAATACACTACAGGAAGTAGTATAAATACAATACTTTGGAAAGGTGGAAAAGAAAGATTCCATTAAACACGGATTTAAAGAAAGTTTCAAAGAACAAATGGAATTTGCCCTAAACCCTGAAGGCTGAGTGGATGAAAGAGTGAAATTGGAGCAAAAGCCCTCTTAGCATAGAAGAGGGCACGGGCAGTAACAGGAATGGTGGGAGGATGGCCAAGGGCACATAGAGTTCAGGGAAGATGAAACTTTGGAAGGTGGTTGAAGGCAGGTTTTGAAAAGTTCAGAGTGCTGTGCTAAGGATCTTGACTTTAATTTGTAGGCCCAGGGCAGCTGTCACTAGATTTTGGGAAAATATGTAGTTCAGACGAAATCTGTAGTTTAGGCAGTTGATTGTCGCAATATGGTGGCTGAAGAGATTAGAGATGGACAGACTGATTAGAAAGCACTTGTAGTTTTCTGTGTCAGAGATGGTAAGACATGATCCCATGCTCTGAGAGGAAGCAAACATGATAAAGAACAAGTTGAGAGGGACATTTCTGTGCTTGGTCAGTTTATTCCAACTTAAGAACTGACTGGCTACTGTTTGGAGGTGGTAGAGGAGAGCAGGAAAGTTGTTCTCGAAATCAATTAAAAGTTTGGGGTAGACACATGTAGTCTCCAGCCTGTCCCTTTCTTCTGCCCTGGTACTTTATTCAACATTCTTGAAATATGTGTTGAGAACCTACTGTGTTGTACCAGCAGTGAGGGGGTACAAACACACAGCTAGAGCTGGGGAGCGGGGACTCTGCATTTTTACTTCTGTTTCCTTGTTGTTGTTGTTGTTGTTGTTTGCCATCGAGTCAGACCCGACTCATAGCGACCCCTCCGTGGGTTTCCGAGGCAGTATCACTACGGAAGTAGATTGCCCCATCTTCCTTCTGTTTCCTTAGAGCCTCACAATGCTTGACACATAGTAAGTACTCTCATAAAGGATACGTCAACATTGACTGATGGAAGACTGAGTGACACAGAGCTAAATACTTTCAGCCTGCATAGGTGAGATCATAGTGAAAAGACGTTTTCACTAGGAGATCAAGAAAGCCTTCACGGAGAAGTTGTACTAACCCACACTTTGAAGGCTATAAAGAATTTCAGTAGTGCATGTCAAGAAAAAGCACTGTAGCTAAAAGAACCTATATTTTATTCCTGAAAATAGTTCTAAGGATTTTGAACATCTGAGATAGATTTGGGCAGTGGGTGGTGGTGGTGAGGAGAGGGTTTAGCTTTTAATAAGCTGCATAATGTAAATCCTCAGTGTTAAGGATAGTGCCTATCACATAGTAAGTGCTCAATAAATATCAGCAGAATAAATGAATTTCAAGGACAGAGCATTGAATTTGGAACTGGAAAGTCTTGGTTTGAGCTCTAGCTCTGAACCCTTACTAACTACACCACTGGACATGTCTTTAAACTCTTTTAGCTTCTCCTTCCACATCTGTGAAGTAGGGATGATTCTACTCTGCTTCTTGAAGTTACTGTGAGGATTAAATAATATAATATATGTAAAAAGTACTTTGTAAAATATAAATATGAATCAAGTGTTAATTATTATAGATTACTTTAAATGTGAAAATAAGCTTTCTGTAGTTTAAAAAAATCCTATCCCACTAAAAGCCAAATCAAACAAACTTTGGCAAACTCTGGTTTATATGTCTCATATTCCTTTTACAAGTAAGTGGGGTTAATCCTAATAAAAGACTCTCTTATGTCAGAGTTCAGACTGGCAGCTATGGGCTTTGAGAGCAAGTTACTTAAAATGTGCTTTGAGCAGCTGCTAGCTGAACTTTTCTAGTTTGTTTTGTATCTGCCCTCTGTTCTTTCATCTTCTTTCACAGTCACCTTAAATTTAGAAATTCAGAATCACAGTACTATATTTAATTTCTATCCCTTGAATATGTCATGAAGGAGAAAAAGAGTTGAAATACAAAAGATTCCAACCTAAAAATGTACCACAAGGAAGAAGTGGAAAGAGAGCTGTTACATTGTGGAGACTGCTATCAATGTCACGAAACAAAATATGCATGTGAATTGTTGACTGGAAAACGAATTCGCTCTGTAAACTTTCAGCCAAATCACAATAAAAAGTTTTAAAAAGCCAACCTATCAGTATTGTGTTGTTGTTGTATGCCATCAAGTTAATTCCAATTCATAATGGCCTCATTTGACAGAACAGAATGCCCTATAGGGTTTCCTAGGCTGTAATATTTATAGAAGCAGATGGCTGTGTCTTTTGTGCCATTGAGTGGCTGGTGGATTCCAACTTCTGACCTTTTGGTTAGTAGCCAAGCATTTTAAAAGGAAGCAAATGTGAGCAAATGACTTTACTCTGCGTTCCTATAAAGAGAATCGCTCTTTGAGTGATTTGGAATTGAGAGTTTTTTGGGAAAGAGCTGTAACAGAGACACTAACTGCAAATTGGACAAGGACTAAAATTTAGCCTGCTTTATTCCAAATATGCACCATGAGAACTTAGAAATAAAATATAATGTTTTGAGCATTAAAAGCCCTCCAGTCAACCACTCTTACCACATGATTTGGTGCTTTTTCCTCTTCACCATGTTCATAAATATGGCATCTATGTGTATAATAGGTGGAAACTTTTTCTTTGTATTTCTGTCGATCCAAGGAGGTCAGAGTGTTTATGTATTGTCTCATTCCTCCAGCAGCATCCCATGAAATAGAGAAGGAGCAGAGGGTGTCCCAGTTACACATATTGGAAAACTGAGTCAGTGGTGACATGGCTTATTTAAATTAATGAAAGTAGTTTCGATATGTCTAAATCTTGTGCTAACTGTAAAGATAAAGGGTTAAATGGACCAGTGAGTTTGAGCTATCTTTATATTCTAAAAGTAGTCTCTCCAGGCCAGCATTAACTTAAAAATTAATAAAGTGGATGACTGCTTATTTATTTTATGATACAGTAAATTAGAATATAGTAGACAGTATTATATTACAAATTCCACAACCAAATAAGATTTGAATCAGTAGATCTGAAGTTTTGGATTTTCTGAGAAGCCCAGCAAATGGAAGCTTTGCTATTGAATTCCCTCTGCTTCATTGATGGTGTAAGGCTATTTCAAAAATAACGCATTCTAAGCACCTATTTTTATCAGCTATTTAGAACTGCCTTCATTCTGAGAGTCATCTGAGATTTTTCTTTATTATAACAGAAAGCACAAAGTGATGGTTGCCCCTTGACTAATAAGAAAAATGGTGACTGGATGGGGTGTTGATGGCATTTGCTATGCAGAAGAATGCAGAGGCAGCCATATGCTTAGAGATTGATTCATTCAAACATAGTTTCTTTGTTCCCAATGGCTTTCAGATCTTGATTCTGCTATGTCCCCTCTTTGGCAGAATGAGGTAGAGAACTGTGCAGTGATTAGACAGGAACCCTGAAACCAAAGACTCTAAAAAGCTGAAGAGAAATCAGACTTTGAAGAACTGTGGCGTCCGCACATGCTGTAAGTGGAGTGGGCAGCAGATGCCTACTGGGCATCTCCATCGAGATGTCCACAGACACTCCAAGCTTAACACGCCCGTTGGAGTTCATCATCTTTTCCCAACCCCTCCTCCCAGCCTGCAGCTCTTCTTTCTCCTGTATCTCCCTCTCTTGGTTAATGCTCTTTCCATCTACCTAGTCTCCTCAACTTAACAGCTTTCTACCCTCTCTTCTCCCCCATCCCTCGGTCCCAGACAGCCACCAAATTGCATCTTATTTTGCCTTTAAAATGTCTCCTGAATTTGACCCTTCTTTACTATCCTCAGAGACACTGTTTCCATTTGAGCTTTCATTATCTCTTGTCTGGAGTATCACAGCCACCTCCTAATTGGGCTCTGTCTCCATTCTCTTCCGTCTCCAGTCTGTCTTTTCTGTTTCTGCTAATAGTAATTAATGATCTTTAAAAACTAAGTCTCATGAATTTATTTACCTGCTTAAGAGACTCCTACTCCTCATTATTTGCAGAGTAAGGCCCTGATTGTATAGCATGGCATAGATGGCCTTGCATTGTCTGTCCCCAGCTTATCACCCTCACCTGGTCTCCCGCCGTTTCCCTCTCCTCTGACTCCTACTCAAGCACCTGTACTCCTGCTGTACCAAATTTTCCACTGTTCCCTGAGTGCTTTGTACCGTGGCACAGTACTGTTTTTCATCTGAAATGCCCTCTTTCTTTAACTAGTAAATTCTTTTTCATTCTCCAAGACCCAACTTAGTTATCACTTCCTCTGTGAATCCTTTTCTGATACCCCAAGACTAAGTTAGTTTCTTTTCTCTTTATTCCCAGATACTTTTGCTGCATCTCTATTATAGCTCTCAATTTGTATTTTGATAACCTTATTACATAATTGGCTTTCTAACTAGACAACTGTGAGTTCCTAGAGGACAGAGATAATGCCTTGCTCACCCTTGTATCCCCTGTACCTCCACTGTTCCTGGCACATAGTGGGCGCTCAATAGATGTTTGTTGAATTAAAAATAAGTTATATAAAGCTAAAAAAATCAAGGTTACTAGGCAATGGGAATAGTGGTTTTTAAAGTTTCTTAAAACTTTATCTTTCCAAACAGTGAGATGTTCAGTAGATTTATTTAATAAGTAGGTGATTTTCCCTATTTTTGTTTTTGAAGAGTTTAAAAGCTATCCTCTCCTGTCCTGCTATTGCCCCAAAGAAAATCAAGATACAGAGAATGAATGACTTTTTTATTAAAAAATATATATATGTGTGTGTGTGTGTATATATATATATATATTGTACTGTTTTCCCAAAATATTTGTGTGCCATCAAGTCATTAAATATTTATTGAGTGCCTACCATGTGCAAGGCAGATAATATCTGTAGTTGTTTTTTCCTGTGATGATCTGATCAGGTATGAAATTTTCTCCCTAGAAGTTTAGAGCTGTTACAGATCTTGATACTTTATTGCAGTAACTTTAGTACGATACTTTACCTTGGGGGCTCTGGGAAATGTCTTCATAATTTTGTATTAGAGTAAATAATGAAGTCTTAATAAAAAGTACATCCAATAATAGTTTAAACCTAGGATGTTCATTATTAAACAACAGTACATTTTATTAATAGTTTTCACAGATAGATAGTTACATAGTAGCCAAGCACACCATTATTTCCTAAGATAACTTTTTAAAGAATAGTGCCTGCAGCAGTTATTACTTCATTAGCCTTCAGTCTGGTATTTTATGAACAAAAACTGTGCCCGACACATGCTGCCCAGCTTTAAGGTTTTTGTTTATGTTTCACTTTCTTTTTCCTTGTAGATCATGTGAATCCAGATAGCCAATGTGGGAGCTTTCTTGCTTGTTATATGTTGTTGTTGTTGTTTGCCATTGAGTCGGACCCGACTCAATAGTGACCCCTCCTTGGGTTTCCGAGGCAGTATCACTACAGAAGTAGATTGCCCCATCTTCCTTCCAAGCAGTGGGTGGTTTGGGCTTGCTCTTTTGTCTCTTTTATTGGTTCAATTTTAAAAGCTGCTAATGATGAGCATTTTGGATTAATTATTTCATACAACTTTCAGGCTTATTTTTACTCCATAGGGCCTTGGGTAATTAAAGAAATACTGTTACTAGGAAGGGGCACATCATTAGTATTCAAAAGTTCTAATGAAATAGATAGTGAGAAGCTGTTTTCCCATTTTTGTGAGGGAGAAACTTAGGCTTTGTTATTTTTCATAGTAATGCATTGATTTACTACTGAAATTAAATCCTCCTGACTCATATTTCATTGCACTTTCTGGCTCTCTCTCCTTTTTTTAAGTTTTCCTATTAAAAAAATATGTCAGGGACCATATATAATATATATTTAAGTTCTTTAGTGTTTTAAGTAAATCTAAGTTATGCTAATTAAATTATTTTCTGTATACTTTTCACAGGAAGCTATTGAATCCTTCAAAGAGGCTTTGAAGCAGAAAGTTGACTTTATTGATGCATATAAAAGTCTGGGGCAGGCCTACAGGTAAGTTAAGTAGTAGCAGTTGGGGTGACGGAGGGTGAGGAGTAGAAAAACAATATAGCCTCACAAATGATAGTAATATTTAAAAAGAAATTCTGTTTCTTTAAGTAGAAGAAATGGTCATTCTAAATTGTATAGGCATTTACATATTAGAAATCTTCTCTAGAATATAGAAAGGACCATATGTCATAGAATGTCATATTTATAATGTGATGCATAGTATGTATAGTCTTTGAAACAACTTCTCTTTGTATATACTGGTTTAGAAAATATTGGTCCTTCAAGGGTTATTGTTTGAATAGTGCTATTATAAGCTCTTGGGTAATAGATATTACTGCTACTACAGCTCTTTTTTTTTTAATAATTTATTTTTGTTGTTGAGAATATATACAGCAAACCATAAACAAATTCAAGTTTCTACATGTACAATTCGATGATATTAATTACATTCTTTAAGTTGTGCAATCACCTTCTTTATCCAAGTTGTTCTTCCCCCAATGACATCAACTCACTATCTCTTAAAGTTCCTTCCTAATCTTTCAAGTTACTGTTGTCAGTTTAATCTCATATAGGTAGGTCTTAAAACAACACAATGCTCAAGGTAGACATTCTTTACTAGTTAAACTATTTCTTGGTTTTAAAAAGACTTCAGGGGTATTTTTGGTTTAAGGTATAAAGGTTATCTTAGGGCAATAGTTTCAGGGGTTCATCCAGCCTCCATGGCTCAGAACGTATGAATTCTGTGTGTGGTAGTTAAGTTTGTGTGTCAACTTGGCAAGCCTGGTTGTGTGGCTGGGCAGGTGGATATAGTTACATTCCCTATGGTAGGACTGGTAATTAACTCCATGGTGGAATGTATTGGAGCATCTGAGTAGCTGCTTTAGGGTTGTGGTCTGTTTCCCATGTATAAGAAACAGCTTTGGGAACGGTCTTAGCTTATGGCACTCTTGAACCTTGCATGTAGCCATGGCGTGTTCAGCAGCCTGCCATGCTCTGCTGACCTTGGGATTTTTAATGGACTTGAATTAATGACCTGCCGTGTGGTTTGGTAACATCGGGACTGTGCTATTTTATTTGTCGACCTTGGGCTTGTTAGCCTCAGCAGCCAGTAGCTGCCTGAGTGAAGAAATGCCTCTAGCTTCAGTGGGCTGGGATCAAGAGGCAGAGCTGAAGCCCAAGGTCGAGGGCCTCCCTAGAGCCTGGCACTTTGAACTCAGACTTCTAGCTTCCTGAACTATAAGAGAATAAACTCCTGTTTGTTCAAGCCATCCCATTTGTGGTATTTCTGTTAAAGCAGTACTGGGTAACCAGAGCACTGTGAGAATTAGAAATTTTGTTCTATAGTTTCTTCTTTTGATCAGGATTCTTCTATAGAATCTTTGATGAAAATTTTTTATAATAGTAGCTTGGAATCATGCAGTTCATTTGGTTTCATGGCAAAGGAGCCAGTTGTTCATGGAGACAATTAGCCTCACATTCCATTTCCTTCTCCTTTTCTGACGCTTCTTCCTCTGTTGCTTCAGGTAAATAGAGACCAGTTATTGTACCTTGGGTGGTCCCTTGTAAGCTTATAAGATCCCAGGCACTGGAAAACAGTGTAGCAGTTCCTCCAAAAACTAAAAATAGAACTATCATATGAACTAGAACAGATGTACTAAACATATTCTTTAGTACATAACAGATGTACTAAACATATTCATGGATGTTCCATGAAACCAAGACCCTAAAGCTCCAAACCAAGGAACCAAATCCCATGAGGTATTTGGTTGTCTCCAGCTGCTTTTTCTTTTTTTCTTAAATCATTGTAAATATATCTGTCATACAAGTTTTGCCAATTCAGCTGTTTATAGGTGTACAACTTATTGACAGCACTTACAGTAATGAACTGTGCAACCCTATCCTTAATCAGTACAATTTCATCACTGTATGCTGAAACTCAGTACTTCATAAACACTGATTTCCCTTTTCCCCCTCCATCCTGCCCCTGGGAACCCCTCATAAACTTTGTTCTCTATACATTTGCCTTTTCTTACCTTTTTTAATGTAAGTGAGGTTATACAATATTTGCCCTTTTGTGATGAACTTATTTTACTCAGCAGAATGTCATCAAGCTCCATCAGTTTTGTAGCATGTATCAAAACTTCATTTATCTTCCTTGCTCAGTGGTATTCTATTGCATGTGCCACATTTTGTTTATCCATTCATCTGTTGATGGGCATTAGGTTGTTTCTACATTTTGACTATTGTGAATAGTGCTGCAGTGAACATTGGTGTACAAGTCTCTGTTCGAGTTTTTGCTTTCAAGTCTTTTGGATTACATACTTAGTGGAATTTCTGGGTCATGTGTTAGTTCTACTTTTAGTTCCTTGAGGAATTGCCACACTATTTTCTACAATGGCTGTGCCATTTTGCATTTCTAGTTGTGTTGGATTGGGTTCTCTAGAGAAACACAAAAACCAGCAAAGTATATATATATATATTTATAGAGAGAGCGAGAGAAATTTATCTTAGATAAATGGCTCACAAGCGTGTAGAAGCCGACAAGTTCAAGCTGAAAAGTTCGTCTCTGGAGGGGGATGGGGCCCAGGGCCGTCTGGCTTTCGCACGCACGGCAGAGGAGTTCAAGTCACAAAGTTCGTCTCTGGAGAGAGATGGGGCCCGGAGTCG